TGTGTTGGGGGATGGGGGTGGCTGAACGGGCGGAGAGTAGCAGGATGGCTGAACGGCTGGAGAGTAACAGGATGGGTGGGGGGTAGCAGGATGGCTGGAGGGTGGAGAGTAGCGGGAGGGGTGGAGAATAACAGGATGGGTGGAGGGTAACAGGATGGCTGGAGGGTGGAGAGTAGCGGGATGGGTGGAGAGTAGCAGGATGGCTGGAGGGTGGAGAGTAGCAGGATGGGTGGAGAGTAGCAGGATGGGTGGAGAGTAGCAGGATGGGTGGAGAGTAGCAGGATGGGTGGAGGGTGGAGAGTAGCGGGATGGGTGGAGAGTAGCAGGATGGCTGGAGGGTGGAGAGTAGCGGGATGGGTGGAGAGTAGCAGGATGGCTGGAGGGTGGCAGGATGGCTGGAGGGTGGAGAGTAGCAGGATGGGTGGAGGGTGGAGATTAGCGGGAGGGGTGGAGAGTAGCGGGATGGGTGGAGGGTGGAGAGTAGCGGGAGGGGTGGAGAGTAGCGGGATGGGTAGAGAGAAGCAGGATGGGTGGAGAGTAGCGGGATGGCTGGAGGGTGGCGAGTAGCGGGATGGGTGGAGGGTGGAGAGTAGCGGGAGGGGTGGAGTATAACAGGATGGGTGGAGAGTAGCAGGATGGGTGGAGAGAAGCAGGATGGGTGGAGAGTAGCAGGATGGGTGGAGGGTGGAGAGTAGCGGGATGGGTGGAGGGTGGAGAGTAGCGGGATGGGTAGAGAGTAGCAGGATGGGTGGAGGTTGGAGTGTAGCAGGATGGGTTGAGGGTGGCTGAACGGGTAGAAAGTCGCAGGATGGGAGGAGGGTGGATGAACGGGTGGGGAGTAGCAGGGTGAGTAGCGATGTAAGCACAGCCGAGGCCTGTGTCGCTAGTTATTGTAAGTAGAGGTGTTTCATTTCGTAAACGTTCTAAGTTCTGTTTCCACTGCTTATGTTACCAGATAACTGCAAACCATGAAATGCAGTGCTTACCGAGTTGGTTGCTCTATCTGTTTCCGTAACCGACACTATTGCAATCGACGGCACGAGGCGTGCAGTGGCATCGCCGTGGGACGAACATGGCCGAGGAAGGGCGTAGTCGTTTGTTTGACTGCAATGTGCTGCTAAATACTAGTACTCCACGCTGAGCAAAACGTGACCATGTGATTATGAAACTTTTCAAGGATTCCTTATTTCTGTGCCCAGAAACAGACACATGGCACCAGACAGCTATGTGTCCGCTCTGGCACGGATACCGTGTTTTTGTATGTTTAGGATAACTCCGCTGCTTGGCTTGACATCATCTTGCCCTGTTTTTTTCCCAGGAGATAATATTTAATTATCCGACAAGTTTCTCCGTGAAAGAAACTTTTTTCCCAGAACGATATTTGATGTGGACACGCCATCGTGATTGACAGGAATGATAGAACAATGTTACTAGGGATACGATAGATCGCTGGAGAAGGTAATTTGTCATGACGTCATCCGGTTATGACGCAACTCAGAAATTGTACTTTATCGAAGGATCAAGCACTGTCGAAGCATCAAAGAATATACAGCACATCATCGAATGTAACACCATTGGCTGCTATATAAAGCTGGCACTGTCACTGGCAACAGTATACAGTTTATTACCGAGTATAACGTCACTGGCTATAGTATACAGTATATTACCGAGTTTAACGTCACTGGCTATAGTACCCAGTATATTACCGAGTATAACGTCACTGGCAATAGTATACAGTATATTACCGAGCATAACGTCACTGGCAATAGTATACAGTATATTACCGAGTATAACGTCACTGGCAATAGTACACAGTATATAATCGAGTATAACGTCACTGGCAATAGTACCCAGTATATTACCGAGTATAACGTCACTGGCAATAGTATACAGTATATTACCGAGTATAACGTCACTGGCAATAGTATACAGTATATTACCGAGTATAACGTCACTGGCAATAGTACACAGTATATTACCGAGTATAACGTCACAGGCAATAGTATACAGTATATTACCGAGTATAACGTCACTGGCTATAGTACCCAGTATATTACCGAGTATAACGTCACTGGCAATAGTATACAGTATATTACCGAGTATAACGTCACTGGCTATAGAACTCAGTATACCACCGAGTATACTGTCACTGGCTATAGTATACAGTATATCACCGAGCATGAGCACGTCACTATTGAACGGGGGGCACGGGGGGCCCAGTCGTCTAACGCGCCGCGATTCGCTGTGCAGAGTTGCGTCCCTTGGCTACGCCAGAAACCTATGATTGTGGGTTCGAATCCCGGTTCGCCCCGATTATGTTTCTAGGTTTGTCAGCACCATACCCGTGCTCGTGGGTTTCACCGAAGTGGTAAACGTCTGAGACCTGCACCACTTCGGGGTTTCCTCCCACATTAAGCTGACACGCCGCGATATAACTGGAATACTGTTAAAAGCGGCGTTAAACCCGACTCACTCACTAACTATTGAACGTGACGTCACCTTTCTCTACCCCTGTGACGTCACCTAACAACGGGCGTGATAATGGCCCGTCGTCACGCAATATGAGGACATTATCAAGTTACCGCTCATTTCTGATAACATGCGGGCGGTTTATTTTAGCTATAACATACAGTATATAACCGAGTGTAACGTCACTGGCTATACTATATAGTATATGACCGAGTATAACGTCACTGGCTATACTATACAGTATATCACGTATAACGTCACTGGCTATAGCACACAGTATATACCGAGTATAACGTCGCGGGCTATACTATACAGTATATCACGGGTAACGTCAATGGCTGTAGTACACAGTAGATCACCGAGTATAACGTCACTGGCTATACTATACAGTATATGACGAGTATAACGTCACTGGCTGTAGTACACAGTAGATCACCGAGTATAACGTCGCGGGCTATACTATACAGTATATCACGGATAGCGTCACTGGCTATAGCACACAGTATATACCGAGTATAACGTCGCGGGCTATACTATACAGTATATCACGGATAGCGTCACTGGCTGTAGTACACAGTAGATCACAGAGTATAACGTCACTGGCTATACTATACAGTATATCACGTATAACGTCACTGGCTATAGCACACAGTATATACCGAGTATAACGTCGCGGGCTATACTATACAGTATATCACGGATAGCGTCACTGGCTGTAGTACACATTAGATCACCGAGTATATCGTCACTGGCTATACTATACAGTATATGACCGAGTATAACGTCACTGGCTATACTATACAGTATATGACCGAGTATAACGTCACTGGCTATACAGTATATCACGTATAACGTCACTGGCTGTAGTACACAGTAGATCACCGAGTATAACGTCGCTGCAACACACAATTTATCACCGAGTTAGATAGTACAGGTGCACTCCGAGGTTCCCAGCCAGTGTAGATATGCACTTACCCCTGAAGTAACCTGCCAGGGAATCTATTGTTATCAATCGCTTACATTTCACCAATCAATCAAAGCGCGGAACCCGTGTGGGGTAGATATTTCAACGGTTGAGACATGTAATCGATAACGGTGGCAAAGAGGCTTTTAACTCTGTTGTTTATATTCCGACTCAGCGGGCTACGGAGGTGCATAAAACGTTCCAGGAACATGCAATGTCTATCATTGTTTAGGAACCGGAGCATCTGCACGGATTTGTTAGGAAGATGTATGTGATCGCTTCGCTGGGGGGATGTGAGGGTAAAGGCTACTGAACCGGTGACATGCACCAAGAGGACGTGGATATTGCAAAACAAGGATTCACGCGATTAATTGTTGAAGAATGTTTAATTGGTAAATACCCCAGGGCACTGAGTGTAATCATGGGAGGTAATTGCAGCTACAATCGCCATTGTTGCTACAACTACATCGACTACCGCTGTCACTACTGCACCCGCTACAACAACGGCGGCTGCTACTACTTAAACTCATTAAATACAACAGCTTCGTCTACTCCCGTTATTGCTACTACGGCAACGACAACGGCGGCTGTTACTACTATAACTCACTCACTCACTACAACTACATCTACTCTCGCTACTGCTACTACGGCAACGACAACGGCGACTATTTGTTTGTTTGTTTGTTTGTTTGTTCGTTGTTTGACGCCTCACTGATCAATATTCCAGCTATATGACGGCAGTCTGTAAAAAATCGAGTCATGACCTGAAAATCCTGTGGTTGATATGAGAATCGATCCACGCAAGTGGGATACGATGACATGCATCAACCAAGGCAGCGAGCCTGACCACCCCATCCCGTTAGTCGCCTCTAAAACTACAGTACTCCCGCTTATTCTACAGCGGCAACGACAACGGCGACTCCTACTACTACAACTTACGCTCTACAACAACATCTACTACGTCTGTTACTATTGCGCCAACTACAATAACCGCTGCTGTTACTACTACACCTCACTCACTCACTACAAATTCATCAGCTACCGCAACAACTGCAACAATGGCGGCCGTTACTAGAACTCACTCACTCACCCACCGGTAATATTGAACAGCTCACAGACAACAAGTAATTCCATTCTTAAATTAGGTGAATTGTTTCTTGATCTACTTTCGCTAAACAAGATATACATGTTCTGGCCAAAAGAGGCGACTATTCTGAACTACAAGCAATGAGTGAATGAGTGAGTTGGGTTTAACGGCGCTTTTAACAGTATATCGCGGCGTGTCAGCTTAATGTGGGAGGAAACCCCGAAGTGATTCAGGTCTCTGATGTTTACCACTTCGGTGAAACCCACGAGCACGGGTATGGTGCTGACAAACCTAGAAACATAATCGGGGCCAACCGGGATTCGAACCCACAATCATTGGTTTCTGGCGTGCCCAAGAGACTCAACTCTGCACAGCGAATTGCGGCGCCTTAGACGACTTGGCCACCCGTGCCTCCCATAAGCAATGAATGAGGTGATGTCTTGTTCGCAATGTTCTCTAACGCTTCTTCTTGATTTCCAGGTTACAGACCAGCAGAAGAAAGGTACGTGTTATTAAGGCTCCCTCCACCTGTACAGGGCGCGGGACGCCACCCCCAAGTAGGCTGTGTGCGGCCAAGACTTCCCAGCCGACAATGGAGTGATATAGCTGGGCCATACTGCCTGTGGTTCAAAAAACCGCCTCCGTCGTCTAGTGGTAGAGCGTCCGCCCGGAGAGCGGAAGGTCCGGGGTTCGATCCCCGGCCGCGTCATACCAAAAGACGTTAAAAGATGGTACTTGTTGTTACCCTGTCTAACGCTCGGCATTAAGGGGCTAAAACAAGTACTGGTCGGCTCGGAGTCAGTATACTGTGTCTGAGTGGGGTATTCATGTTAAACTGCGGCATGGTATCTCAGTGTGATAGCACTATAAATCGGCATCAGTCCGGACCAGTACAAGCAGCCACACAAACACAAAAAAACACACACACGTACATGCATGTCGCTATATAAGTGCAATAATCTTGGACGCGACGTTAAACCCAATTTCACCTCACCTCACCTCACCTCACCTCACCTCACCTCACCTCACCTCACCTGTGGTGCAAAACAACATTTTTTCACAACTACCCACCCGTCCCCCATATTGTAATGTTTTGTTTGTTTTGTTTTAACGCCGCACTCAGCAATATTCCAGCTATATGAAGGCGTTCTGTAATTAATCCAGTCTGGACCAGACAATCCAGTGATTGACATCATGAGCATCGATCCACGCAATTAGGATACGATGACATGCATCAACCAAGTCAGCGAGCCTGACCACCCGTTAGTCGCCTCTTACGACAAGCCTAGTCGCCTGTGACGACAAGCATGGGTTGCTGAAGAGCTATTCCTCCCCGGATCTTCACGGCTCCCATATTGTAATGTGTCTGACGTGAGACGGGGTTGTACAGTGTCTGCGATATATCGGGGTTTTATAAATAATCTGACATGCGTAGAGGTTGTACCGTGTCTCCAATATATCGGGGTTTTATAAATAATCTGACATGTGTAGAGGTTGTACAGTATCTGAAATATGTCGGGGTGATATTTTGTGAATAATATGTCGGGGTTGTAGATATAGTATATGTGGCTTTAGCAGAGACGGGCCGCACGACAATATATACTCACTGACAAAAGAAACGCGAATACCATACATGTTGGTCAATATATGAAGAATTACTCATATTCGAGAGATATTAGATAGGTTCGATGCACAAACGAACATATTGTTTTGTTGTGTGAATCCACGCTCATGAACGCATCACACGTGACGTCATAGATCCATGACTCGAGATGCACCATTTGTCTCATGCAGGATTGGCGTGTAAAGTTTGGAAGTCATATGAAGCATGTCGTGACCAGAATAAAGACACTGTGGTAACACTCGACTGATTGTCACTTTTATCATTAAGTGGTACACATTGGAAACATCTCTTCTTAACGTGCATACCTCTCTATATGTTTCTATGGTGCGCGTTTCTTTTGGCGGCGAGTATATATTTGGCTCCTGTGTATTGATGCTATTCATGGTTGACTATCTGGTTGACTGTGGCGTGACGCAACAGTGACATGGCATAGTACACTCACGGTGTCAATCAATGATTTGTCTGCATACAGCGTGGGCCAAGGTCATGGCGTACCGGCAGTTTTGTTAGCTTCTATCACTCCCTGCATGCACCTCGTGGAGGTGTTCCTGTCGCGATACACCACGACTGCAAGCCACATAAACCTCCACTAACACAGGCTAACAGACACGTATCAGTCTCTATACCAATCTGGAACTTTCTCTCCCCACCCAGCTATACAAGCTCAACCCGCTAGTGTCGACATGACACGCCGGCAGCTTGAAAACCACATTTAGCTGCTGCTTTTCCCAAACATCCGCTTCCGGGTGCATGTTCGCAAACAATTAGGCTCAAATATCCACCCAACATAGACGATCGGTTTAACTTCCAGATTAACAAATTGGAAATCGATTTACAAAGTACTTGTTCAAAGATTATTTCTGTCATTCAGATTATAAACCACCATTCTGACATGGAATTAAAACATAGGATAATATGTCATCGCCACGAACCAATAAGGACATCGATTCTTCGTCAATTCAAATGTGCTATCTGTCCAGCCGTTTTGGAACAGTTAATGGTGTGTGGAGGCGAATCAGCCCAAATGCCACATTACCGCTGCGATATATTGCTGGTGGTGTGGCTGGCTGGATAACAGCTTTGGAATCAATGGTGCTGACGTGATTATGGCCCCCGTGAACATCCGGGTTCGAATGGGTCTTCAGCAACCCATGCTTGCCGTCACAGGCGATTATGCTTGTCGTAAGAGGTGACTAACGGGATCAGGTGGTCAGGCTCGCTGACTTGGTTGATGCATTTCATCGGATCCCACCTGCGTGAATCGATGCTCATGATGTCAATTAATGGATTGTCCGGTCCAGACTCTTTCTGTGTTAATAATAAGGAAAACATCTTTTTCCGGCGAAAACTTCTAATTTGTTCCGAAGTCAGAAATGGATTTTGATTGGGTGTCGATGTAAGCTCATGAGCGAGAGAAGTGTCTTGCCGATACACAGTGATGTGGTGACAGACGAAATACAAGATTTCTGACACTAATTTAATAGAGGTTTTGCATTGTAAGAATTCTTTGACCTTTGTCGTTTATGTGATATGATGTTTTTGACAGAAATCCAGGAGACGTTTGATCTCTTTGACGTTGACCATGACGGCAGAGTGACCACCAAGGAGATGGGCACCATCATCCGGGCATTCTTCATCGTGGCCAATGACGGACAGCTGCGGGCTTTCCTCGGCAAGCTTGATCAAGATGGTAACCGGTATTCATAATCGTACCATAGCCACATGGAAAAGGAATAGATTGAAGACACTCACCAGGCCTACGCATGCATCCACGCGCACACACACGAGTACTGTATAAGTGATTAATTTAATATAACAATTTGTATTTAATATAACAATTTGTTTTACAATCATACGACAAAAACAACAGAATACGGGTTGGTTGCATTCTTTCAAATAACCAGTGTCTGGTTGACCGGTACTTCTGGTCGCATATGACCATATCAAACGAATAGCAAATGGGCTTATGCGCCCGAGCAGGTCTAGGTTTACTAGGTGTAGGAGAAGGGTTCGCAGACTGCAATCGTTGTTACCGTTGTAAAGAATGAGTACGTAGACTAACATCGTTGTTTCCTTTGTAGTGAATGAGTACGTAGACCGACGTCGTTGTTACTGCTGTAGGAGATGGGTACCGTTTTTACCGTTTTAAAGAGTACGCAGACTGGCATCGTTGTTACTATTGTAGTGAATGAGTACGTAGACTGGCATAGTTGTTACTGTTGTAGTGAATGAGTACGTAGACTGACATCGTTGTTACTGCTGTAGGAGATGGGTACGTAGACTGACATCGTTGTTACTGTTGTAGTGAATGAGTACGTAGACTGGCATAGTTGTAACTGTTGTAGTGAATGAGTACGTAGACTGACATCGCTGTTGCTGTTGTAGTGAATGAGTACGTAGACTGACATCGTTGTTAATGCTGTAGGAGATGGGTACGTCAACTACACCGATTTCGAGCGCTTCATGGTTGAGGAGCAACTGACCACGGTGTGTCGGGACGAGATGGATGACGACCTCTCCGCGGCCTTCCAAGTGTTTGACAAAGACGGCAATGGTTTCATCGACGCTGAGGAATTCAAGGAAGTCATGGTTAATCTAGGTAAGTGCTAAAAACTGTATACAGTTTAACTTTATACGGACGAGTCTTACATAAGATGCGCGGGTGTATAAATAAATGGTAGATACGGTATGCCCAGGTCTGAGACTTAACCCTTCTTTAAAGGTAAGGTAAACTTTGCATATATAGTGACCTGTATTTTCATATTTTGGTAGGTAATAAGAAATCATATTTCATAGTCAACTATGGCTTTAACGAACTTGCATATAGCGAATAGTCGATTAAAATCAAATCTTTGAAAAGTTTAAATCTACGGTCTATTTATTTGAATAACGAGTTCGGATCTGACGTGCTGGTCCCTTGGGATTCGTGATATCCTGGTTAACTATGGGCTTAATGCGGACATGTTGTGACAGGAGACAAGATGTCAACGGAGGAGGTGGAGGCGTTGATGAAGGAGGCGGACACTGACGGGGACGGCAAGATCGACTACACAGGTAACCGAACGCATGAATATTAACATTAATTAAACGTCTCTTCCCTCACCAGGCGATGCGCCTGTATATGTTATAAGCTCTTATAACAAACATACCGCCAGTTACCACAGGGCCCAGTTGTACAAAGGGATCTTAGCGCTACGGCTGTCTTTAGTCTGTGCAAGGGTGGATCCAGCATTTCTAAAAGGGAGGAGTCTGAGTCATATATCAAAAGCCTCTCTTAGATAACAACATGCTACATTTGGTTTTCAAAAGGGGGGGGGGGGGGGGAGGGGGCGTGCATGGACTCCACCCCACAACCACACCCCGCCTATGCTGTGGCAAAGTAAAAGGGCTGCCCAGTCGGGGTACATGCACAGTGGTCTAACACTGCTAGGCTTTTGTCATGGTTGAATCGCACTGGTTCTAGATGTGATGGATTAGTCCCTTTGCAGACCTTCTTTATCTCAGTGGCTGCATGTCTATTTCAGAGTTCTGCAGGCACATGAAGAGAAACATTCTGCTCGAAGACGGCAAAGGATAGTGGCGGAATGTGAACGAAAACTGTGTACATCGAGGATTATTGATACGTTGCCCATAAACCAGAATGGTTTTGATCTGTTGCTCAATACAAATTATAATGCTCCGATTTAATCGGGGTACGTCAACTTACCTAAAGTATATATTATAGTCACTGCAACATTGCCAAGATTTAATCTATGTATTATTTACCTATTTCGTTTCTATGGTTCCATGTTTGAATGTTTCCTAGCATCTCTCTGTACAGTTTTAAAAAAAAAGGTTTAGAAGCTGCTATCTAATTACTTGAAATGATTGTTTAGAAGCTGCTATCTAATTACTTGAAATAATTCAGAAATGCAGTGTCTCTTCATTAGATGACCCGACAGACAGCATCCCAGGTACATCAGAGAAACATGCGTGGACCCTTTGTAGCATCCCAGGTACAACAGAGAGACATGCATAGACCCTTTGTAGCATCCCAGGTACAACAGAGAGACATGCATAGACCCTTTGTAGCATCCCAGGTACAACAGAGAAACATGCGTGGACCCTTTGTAGCATCCCAGGTACAACAGAGAGACATGCATGGACCCTTTGTAGCATCCCGGGTACAACAGAGAGACATGCATGGAACCTTTGTAGCATCCCAGGTACAACAGAGAGATATGCATAGACCCTTTGTAGCATCCCAGGTACAACAGAGAGACATGCATGGAACCTTTGTAGCATCCCAGGTACAACAGAGAGACATGCATAGACCCTTTGAAGCATCCCAGGTACAACAGAGAGACATGCATGGACCCTTGTAGCATCCCAGGAAGAACAGAGAGACATGCGTGGACCCTTTGTAGCATCCCAGGAAGAACAGAGAGACATACATGGACCCTTTGTAGCATCCCAGGTACAACAGGGAGATATGCATAGACCCTTTGTAGCATCCCAGGTACAACAGAGAGATATGCATAGACCCTTTGTAGTATCCCAGGTACAACAGAGAGACATGCATAGATCCTTTGTAGCATCCAAGGTACAACAGAGAGACATGCATGGACCCTTTGTAGCATCCCAGGTACAACAGAGAGACATACATGGACCCTTTGTAGCATCCCAGGTACAACAGGGAGACATGCATGGACCCTTTGAAGCATCCCAGGTACAACAGAGAGACATGCATGGACCCTTTGTAGCATCCCAGGTACAACAGAGAGACATGCATAGACCCTTTGTGGCATCCCAGGTACAACAGAGAGACATGCATAGACCCTTTGTAGCATCCCAGGTACAACAGGGAGATATGCATAGACCCTTTGTAGCACCCCAGGTACAACAGAGAGACATGCATGGACCCTTTGTAGCATCCCAGGTACAACAGAGAGACATGCATGGACCCTTTGTTCTGTTTTAACATTCGGAGAATAGAGTACTCAACTTTTCAAAGGGATATTGTGATATCACTTACTGTTACGAACCTCAGGACAACCACCAAAGGAAAGGTACTTTTTTATAGTGTATTTTCATGACAAAATATCATATTAATCAGATTACGTCATCCTATCTCACATGGACATGGAGAAACCCAAGGAAAAGATGAGAAGAATAATCATTCAGCTTTTGTGATAAGAAAGTATTGAAACTGGATCATTAGGATCATTTTATAATTCATTTTAACTTGTAGTATGCCAAGAACGTGGAGCGTCATTTATGAAATATTCCCGCAAGGGAGCTAATTGACAACAAAACTGGACTTGCCTCGGCATTTATGAGTCGGGATCAGCACAAGTTCAAGACAATGTCCCCTCTGGGTGTAGGAGGGTACAGTTGGGTGTAGGTTAGGAAAGTGTTCACGATAACACATCAGATTAGTCTTTAGTCTACTTGTGGTAGGTTTCTGACACGTCTATAGGACTTATGGATAGTAGAATAGAAAGTACATGCATTTCAGCTTATTTAAACAATTGTTCATAACATGCCACATTTGGTCTACTTTATCTTGAAATTCCCAGGGGCACTGGTGACAAAATCTAAGGCGCTGCAATTCGCTGTGCAGAGTTGCCTACCTTGGACCATATGTTTGTGGGTTCGAATCCTGGTTTGCCCGATTATGTTTCTAGTTTTGTCACCACCATACCCATATCCGTGGGTTTCACCAAAGGGACATTCTACACTTCGGTCTTTTCCCCCACATTAAGCAGACACAGCGTGGTATAACTGGAATACTATTAAAAGCGGTGTTAAACCTTTCTCACTCACATACATTTCCCGATATTTTGTTGGTTGTACAGTGTCAGTTTTCTTTAAACCCTAAAATGCATGGATTTTCAAGAACGTGTACAGCAATAATTGGAAGCAAGGAAATGACTCTGGTTGGCTCGACGAACATATGGCCTGGCCGTGGAAAGACCATGTTAATAAAATTCAGTATGTAAGGGAGGTAAACACCTCGTAGTCATCAACATGGTGTAAGAGTGAGTGAGTGAGTGAGTGAGTGAGTGAGTTGGGTTTAACGCCGCTTTTAACAGTATTCCAGTTATTTCCCGGCGTGTCAGCTTAATGTGGGAGGAAAGCCCGAAGTGATGCAGGTCTAAGACGTTTACCACTTCGGTGAAACCCACGACCACGGGTATGGTGCTAACATACCTAGAAACATAATCGGGGCGGACCGGGATTCGAACCAACAATCATAGGTTTCTGGCGTGCCCAAGGGACACAACACTGCAGAGCTAAACGCGCGCCTTAGACGACTGGGCCCCCGTGCACCCCTGGTGTACGATGTAAAACAGGGAATGAATTGAAACCAGTATTGTTCATATTTTTTTTAATCATCTCTGTGTTGATTAAACATTTTGGGAAAATTACTTTGTTGTAAATTGAATTTGTTTGCCGTTTCAATAAAGACATGGCCATTTGCTGCCACTTTGTTCATGCCTCTTATCAAAGCTTTCTTGCATCCTTTGTTATCTGTGCAAGGTTTATTTTGGTACTCATTATTAGTTTTCTAAAATTGAACTTTGTGAGAGAGAAAATAGGAGAACAATGATCTCAGAAAATGTAAATGCTGCTAACAAATTGTATTGTCTGGTATTTATGATAGAAGTGTATATGGTCTGTCCATCCACTGTGCCTGTGATTCTTCTCTCAATGCCACCAACATTTCACATTTGTGTATATTCACATCACATCATGATATCTTAATCTGACTTCAGTTTCAATAAACTGTTTTTGAATCCATGTTTTTCTCCATGTAAATCTGTATCGCATGTGAGTGTGTTTTCAGCAGTCAGCAAAGGGCATCATACATTACAACCCAAATCTGACCCACCTGGCTACAAAACAGGTGAGTGAGTGGATGGAGTTTTACCCATCAGAAACTCATGCTATGTCATCCTGGAAAGTCTAGGCCATGCATGCTAATCAAAGTCAGAGCCAGACATGCTAATCAAGCTTGGGCCGGTGCTTGCTAGATGCTATTCGAGGGGGGTAGGGGCTGAGATTATATCGAAAAAATAAACTGTACCCAAATAGTAAGTAATTATGCACCCTTAGACTTTTGAAAAACAAAATTGCCTGTCACAAGAATTACACCGTTGTAAGGTGTTTTTCCAAAAGAAAAAGTAAAATTAAGAAATATGTGTGGCTGTAGCTAATGAAGGTCTGATGGGCTTGGAGTCTGTACAAGGGGTCTGAGTGGGTATCCATGTTTAACGGTGACATGGTATCTCAATGGGTTAGCATAATGTAAGTGCACTAGCAGACTCTCTCTCTCTCTCTCTCTCTCTCTCTCTCTCTCTCTCTCTCTCTTTCTCTCCCTCTCACACTCACACACACATACACACAAATTTTTATCAGGTGAAACAAACACTGTTATCAAACAAACAAAGACCACACAACACTATACATAATGAGATCAGCATGTTTATATACATGAAATATACAACTTGTAAACAACACTGTCGCCACGTATTTCATAAAACATCTCACTGCTGGTACCACAGTTGTCATGGTGACTAATACATACAATTCCATGATATTTATATTTTCACAGTGAACATACAAGAATGATGAGATACATATTATATATTTGATACAGCCACAATATACAGCAGGCTGCTGGCAGTATAATCCACCTCCTCTCAGTTTCAGCACTATAAAAACCCTTACCAAAGTAGTCAGGCCAGTTATGGTGTAAAGAGTTATCCCCCTTGAGTGATTCTTCATTCAACACTAAACATTTTTACATAGCCTGACTTTTATTTGTTGTCGAATCTCACTCATTGTTAACATCGTCAGTATTCACAGTCTTGTACACACTACTTTCCTCAATCACCTGTGAACACATACAGCCACTATCTGATGTAGTAGTGACGTGTGTTTTTAGTAAGCTAATGGAATCAGGCCGTTCATGGGCAACAAATAAGACTCTTCCATTGCCTAATATTCAGGCAGTGCGCAGAGCAGACTGAGGATTAGCACCAGTGTTACACACGCTGTCAAGGAAAACAACAATAGTGTTTGTGTGATGTAACCACGTGCTGGCTTCGCTCTTACAGGTACCAGGCTGTTGCTCAACTCATTGGTTACAGGTAGCGACAAACAGCAAAGAGGTCCATGTATTCACAGGTGACGAAATATAACACGTCAAGTATTGATGATTGTTCAAACCTTTATCACAATGTCTGAAACTATGTCACTTTGATTTTGTAATTTTATTGAAAATACACTTTGATTGTTTCCATTGTACATGTTGTATTGTTATAAAAATATAGATAAAAAGAATTGTGTCAGTAAGTCCCTTCTTGAAAGCAAGTTAAAATCTAACGCTGAATCAGGACTATCACAGCCATGTAGTTAGGAGTTCTGTAGTGGCTAGTTAAATGACAAATGGTATATTTTCACCAGTGATGTCAATATGATAAATTAAAATCAAGAACAATCTTATCAGTATGATTTGGTTTGTTTTTTTAGTAACATTCACTCAGCAATATTCTCACTATATGACGTTATTCTGAAAATAATCGAATCTGGATCAGACAATCCAGGCATTGATATGGCCATGGATCTACAGAATTTGGATATGATGACATGCATCAACCAAGTCATTACTTGTATGAAGATACCATGGCCCAAGTATATAAATGACTGGAATGAAAGATTGCATGGGGTTTTTTTTCTATCTAGACCCTGTACCACTAAATGACAACTTAACAGTCACAACAAAATGAGTGGAACTAGATTTCTGTATTGTATGGAACTAGTTTGGTGTATTGCACTACTTTGGTGTATTGCAAGTAAAATAGCCTGGTGTATCTAATATCAATAAGGTAAAACTATGATAAACATGACAATACAGAAGCCTTACAAGTAACTGGGTTATTTAGCAACTATACACTGCAACATAAGTCATGTACCACATGATAGGCAAAGGGAGTAGGAAAGCCTAAAGTGGTCGTAGTAACCCCAGGCAATGGAAACATGAAGGGCATACCCAGGATTAGAACCCAGGACATGATACATCCTGGCATGTAAGGGCACAACATAAGCAACCAACAACAAAGGATTGTAACTGTGACCCCGGTGACATGGTGTAACTGCTGACATCAATATTCAAAGAAAATTGTTTCCAAAGTCAGTTATTTAGTCATATGCTGTGAAAATCAGCTCAAATTACAGAATCACTTTGGGCATACAAACGACCAGAGAAGAGCATGGTAGTCAATGCCTGGGAAATATTGAGAATTTGACATGCAATTTGATCACTTATTATATAATATGGCAAGTAGGTGGCAGGTTTAGGATAGTCCATAGTCTTACATTGCACAAGTGTGGCAGAATACATGGTAGAACACACAGTGAATGACATTCTAGTCATATGTACAATATTTAAATTAATGAGTCAATATCCATCTCGTACAAATGCTGATATTATTATATCATATTATTATTATATTATATAGAGTGTTCTGATGTACAAGATGTACTGAGACGTATTAAATGAAGTCCAATGTACTGAGACATGAAATTAAGTTCCATGTACTGAAATCTATGAAATAAAGTCTGATGTAGTGAGACGTATGAAATGAAGCTTGATGTACTGAGGCGAATGAAACATAGCCAGATGTACCGAGATGTATGAAATGAAATTCGATGTACTAACATGTAGGAAAATTTATCCGATGTACTGATGTTGGAAATGAAATTCGATGTACTGAGGAAATATTACCTGATGTACTGACTCAGTACTACTGAGACATAGGAAATACGTAGTCTGAAGTACTGATGTGCATATGACATGAAGGCTGATGTGCATGAAATGTAGACCAATGTGGATTAAAATAAGCCGATCTAAAGATGACTTGCATAAAACTTGTATTACAATATACACTGACCACTGAACAGTTACAGCACTGATAGCACTAAAGAATTTGTGACACAATGCAACCAGTAAACTGTCAATCAAGTTTAGAATCAGAAACTACCAATATGTATGAAGGATGAGACAAGTACAACATTACAAACAGGTTGTATATCCCCAACACCAAACCTCTGCCTCTTTCTAAAATAGCAATGAAACCAAGGCAACACTGTTCCATTATTCCATGAACACTGTAACCATGACTGTATGGTGCTGTATAACACCTCTTGAAAACAGTTATTATGCAGGGATATCACACTATCAGAACAATGCTACGGTTGCCATTGCCTTTCAACATTTCTTTAATATCACTGACCAGCATTAAAATTCTGATTATGCGTTCTGAATCTAAAACATAATTCTACAACAGTTTCCATATACTATACTTATACATCTTGCCTAGATAGTATGAAGTCTTTGTCCAAAGTTGATTGATGAAATAGATTGAATTGTTGCTTGAAGCCAAGACATGTTTGTGTTAGGTGTACATGATTAAAAGCTGAATCAAATCTCTGGGAAATTATGGTATGATTGTGATTATCCTGTTTGTATTGATGTCATCATGAAATCCAGCCATCAGCACCAAGCAGCCTTCACTGTCCACACATTCAAAGTTGCTTATAGTTATACATTCCAAATAAATGTTCTGAGAACACATCAATGGCAACATAGCATTAACACTCTTGGCAGTTCTTTTCCTGAAACGATGTGACAAAGGGTTTTTCATTTTGTCGTTAGTGACTCATGACGAAGACAATCATCTATGCCTGCCTTTGCCCGTTCTGGTTGGACAGGATTAGTCAGTTTACGAAGGCCCAAGTTAGCCTAACTCTGGCTCCTGAATCAAGTATGTCACTCTGTCTCCCAACTCCACTTCATCCCAGACAGCTCTCTCCCCATGGTCTGCAGTCTACTACAGCTTCACAGACCATCAGACCCCAGCCTAGAATGCAGCTACTGCACAGCTGCACTGTTCCAAGTCACATTCAGTACAAACAGCTGTTCCAAGCACATTCAGTACAGACAGCTGTTCCAAGCACATTCAGTACAGACAGCTGTTCCAAGCACATTCAGTACAGACAGCTGTTCCAAGTCACATTCAGTACAGACAGCTGTTCCAAGTCACATTCAGTACAGACAGCTGTTCCAAGTCACATTCAGTACAGACAGCTGTTCCAAGTCACATTCAGTACAGACAGCTGTTCCAAGTCACATTCAGTACAGACAGCTGTTTTGATTATGGATTAGTCAGCTAAATCTGCTGCGTCTCAGCCTCAAGAGTATCAACTGCACTTGTTGCCACTGCAGCACATCTGCTGCACAACTGTAAGTGCACAACTGCACAAGTGGAAGACTTGCTTTTCTTTGGTGAAGGCTGTTTGTGGGAAATCTCAGAAATGCTTGAACTCCTCATAATGATGTCATGTTCAACAACTCCGCATCGCTACTGTCAAGAACTACACCTCCTCTTTGGTTGCATGTTGGATAAAACATTCCTCAGTAGAACAATTGTTCTATCACTGTCCATTGTTCTACACCCTTTACATAATATTATTTTTGATGAAAATATACAATCATACATATCTGAAATATTTTTGGTGATTCGTTGAATATAATCTGCATTGAATTCCCCCAAAAAAGCACACATGAAGTAACACTCTGAAGTGATAAAATGATCTGCTTCGCTGTGTTTGAAACCAGGTAATGATTGACATGATCATGTTCTGTACGAGGGAATGTCCTCCTATACACTTAGTGTATTCCTCGTCTGTCTGCAGTGGAGAACATAAGACATGTTCCACAAGACAACCACTACAGCACTACAGCTATCCTACATCTGAAAGCCATCAGCTGCAGGGCCCACTTGCACAAAGTGACCTTAGCACTATGACTATCATAAGTCTATATTCAATTTTTGGGAGTTAGGATCACAGCACTAAGATTGCTTTGTGCAAGTGGACCCAGGATTGCTTCGTGGAAGGTTGTTTATTCCATTCTCTTCAACAGAGACAGATGCTGTTATGAAAGAGTTGTCTCCCTTCCACAATGCCCAATATGTTACGTCCGTAATACCCCTTCCATGCTATACACTTGCAACACTAAGTCTTGAGGCAGTATGTCTCAAACAGCACCCTGTAATACCTCTGTGATTAGATACCCCACCGTCCACAGCCTCATATATATTTGAAGCACTTCTGTTTATCATGCGGCAGTCGAGTCTTGAACAGCACAGAATCGACCCTGTACTGCGTGTACAGCAGGGGCATGTAGCCGTACACCTTCACGAAGAAGTTGATGCACTTGTGTCGCTCCTGGAAGTGGGAATCATTGCTGGACAGAGTCTGTGGACAGCCCGGACACCTGAACGTCCATCGCGATGTCACCTGTGGATTTAGGGGGGGATTATCAGGTTTTATAAATAATAATATAAGTCATATAACCGTGATCTGTAAATAATCAAGTCTGGACCATCTAATCCAGTGATTGGCATCATGAGTATCGATTTATGCAATTGGGATACGATGATATGAATCAAACAAGTCAGCGAGCCTTACCACCTGATCCCATTAGTCATCTCTTACGACTAACATGGATTGCTGAAGATCTATTCTAACCCGGATCTTCATGGGTCTCAAGTGTAAAGAACTTGTATACATTTCCTACTACAGACTCCGTAATTGCATGCTCATATTCCAATAGTCCATTTCAAACTTCCCTCATTTGACATAAATAAACTTAAATAAATCTGAACTTCTTGTTTTTGTTCAAATTTGTCTCCTGTAAACTTGTTGTTAGGACTACTTGAGACTGAAATACTTCAAACCACAGGTTGATTGATCGGTAGTTACTTGACATTACAATAGCAACAGTCTGTGAAACTATCTATTTTGTTTTACCGAGCAAATATAATTTTTCTAGCATTTCCCACAGTACTTTAGGGATTCAAGTTTGCAATGGGCTTCTGTGAACCACTTGGAAGCATGAGAAAAATAGAAGATATATCTTAACATAGAACCCTGAATAAGTCTACAGTTACAAAACAGACCACTAATACAGTGGAGACTGTTAGCACAGCACTGGTTCCTACCTTTATTGGAGGTTTGCGAGTGATGTGGGACACGAGGAAGTTCATGGCTATGTCTTCACAGTTGGTGTACTCGTCCACTTTGTCTCGGATAGCGGCTGGCATCACATAGCTGTACAGGTACGAGTAGTACTGGAACACCGACAAGTCACTCATGGAACATCACGTATCATCAACAAACTAAAAGATACTAGTACAGACCATTGCATTGTCTGCATCAGAGACAGATGCTGTTATGAATTACAGAGTTTTCTCCCCTTCCACTTGTTAAACAATTTCATCCTATTAAACGTGCAACATTTTGTCTTGATGCACAGATTAAAGTACAATACAAAACTGTTTTGGAGGTCAATGTCTGTTACTACTGCTCAAGTTCCATTTATCATTCCATCATTTAACTTTGGATGAAAGGGTCACCTTCCTTGACATTCCTTTCTCCAAATATGTCAATTTGTTTCAAATATGCATATGGAAATAATTTGTGTCCATGAAACACTCTGTGCATAACTCTTCTGCTCTTGTAGAATCTCACTGGTCGCATATTACAATACATTTGTCAAGATCATGCAGGTAAACATTTATCCTGGGAGGAAAATCCACATTAGTGTTAAAATCAATGGAGGGTTTTAGAAAATGTCAGAAATTGAGAATGCCTGAAGATTCAAACACTACAGAAGTGACACCCCAAGACTCCCGAACATTCATTACTACAAAATAAGATCTTGATCCCATGTCAAAGAAGTACTGCATGTAAGTTCTGACAGTGTTTGTTTGTTGGTACCTTGTGGAAGAAGGCCGCGCCGGTGAGGACCATGGACAGCTCGCAGGAGTAGTTGGAGTTGTACAGCCAGGACTGGTGCTTCAAGTCCCATGCATGAAACCGGCCCGGGAAGCCCACAATTCGCTCTCGCTCCTCACGCCACACTCTATAGGGAAGTAGCAAGTGAAACATCATCCAGTCACATTATATATTTTCCCACCCTGATCACATTGAAACAGCATCTTTTTTATCACTTGGTTTACAAGTTTTTCTTCCAAAACCATACTTTTTAAAAAAAACATTATGAGACATGTTTCCTCAGTGATTTCTGAAGAGAACTGTGGCAGTTAAAAATATAAAGGAGGCTTACTTCAGTTCCTGTATTAACCTACTTTGAAGTTTAGTTGCATTCTGAAGTTAATTAACAGTCTTAACAGGAAGGAAAATATTACTCAAAATTTGAATTTCATGCAACATATGAGAAATTTTGAATTGTCTGATTAAAAAACTGAGTATAGCAAAACATGTGTAATCATCAGTACAAGACTAACATCATAAACAGCAACAATGGAAAACTTTATCTTTCAACTCTAATCTGTTCATACAGGAAATACTGTAATCTGCTCAACCAAGCATCAAGGATGAAACTAAAGATATTATCAATGGAATCATTTTCTCAATTTGGCTCCAAAGAGTAACTGACCACATTCTCACTGTGAACATCCTATCATCATTTTCAACATCAGATGCAATCTCACCTGAATCCAAATATGATTTCATCATGTCGAAGATGTGCATCATCATCAATACTGAGAATCGCCTCCGTCTCGATGGAATCGTAGGGCAAGAATCGGTTGTTCAAGCTGTTCTTGAATGTCTTGACAATCTGAAAACATATATTATCTACATAGAAAATAATAGAGAAAAGAAACTCATAATGAGGCGAGGCAAGGCTCGACAAATACGCCAGCCAACAAATCTCAGTTAGATCATGCTTCACTCTGATACGTTACTACTCTGTGTGAAGATCTGTGAACACCTCCAGCATCCTCCAACCTGTGAACCACCCTGCCCTCAATGGCATCATAGGACACCTCCATAACATCTCAACAGATGCACTTCCAACACTGACAACTGCATATCATACCATAGTTGGCCATGGTAATGCATCAAGCATTGGGCTAGTTGTATTCAAAGATGGCATGGAGATTCTATTCTTTACTACACACAATGGCTCGTGTCCATTTCATCCAAGTCAAGCACTTTGAGGAGGTCTAAGGAGTGCATTACTACCCGTAATTAAGCAAGTACCCTGTTTCACTACCTCCATTGGCTGGCAATAAGTCACCTTCACTCAGTATCATAAGGCCACACAATTTATATTTATAGTTTCAAAGGCCCACTGCCCCTACTGATAAGCAACTGGTCTAAGAAATAAATCAAACCTGAATATATTCATATTTTTACATATAATGGGTGGGTTTCTCGCCAGGATAAAGCCATGGATAAAAACAATGTCCGTTGGGGTCATATGCCCATAGAGATGCAAATATCAAAGGTTCAGTAGGGACTACTTTCAGTGTTTACAAACAAACATGGTGTCGCCTTTGTCATTCAGTGATCGAGTCCGAATTAACCATCTGGAATCTGGTGATTACAGGGTTAGAACTAAACTTTAAAGCTTTATTAGCCCGAGTAAGGATAAAATGCCCTTGTAATGTCAAAACAATGGGGAAATTTGTACTAGCCGAGGGAATTTGTACTAGCCCCGGGCTAGCGGGCAAGTGTTCATTTTTAACCCTGTATAAACTACTGGGATAATTGTTATCATTATCAAAAGAATAGTAAGGCATTTTACAAGTTTTGGCAGCTTTGGTGATATAAATTGCAAAACAATTTAGCGAGGATGCTGGCCTAGTGGGGTCAGTTTCCATATCTGTTCTTGTGACCTCTGCTTGGAACCTTTTCTCCAAATTAAAACAGTTGGATTTGACCGAAACATGTCCAAATTGTTACCGTGTGTCGTTTTGTCACTGTGCGAACATCTGAACTGCACTTCATAACATTATGACAGGACAGGCAAACTCTAACACAAACGTGATGTCTCATAGACTAGGGTTAAGAGAAGCTTCTCTTTGATAAAGGGCAGTAACTCTAGCGGAGAGACCGATTTGTAGACACATGTTGATTTCATTTTATCAGACAATAACCAGAGTGACCTCCCTTAACTCCCAAACAGCTTCGATCCTAGCATCCTAGGAAATGGTGGAAATGTTAAAATTGACATCATGTTGAATAAATACAGGAAAATTGCATTTTGGTAAAGTGAAGGCAATGTTAACTATTTCAATAGTTAAAATTACCAAATAGTCACCTTAGAGTGAGTGAGTGCGTGAGTGAGTTGGGTTTTACGCCGCTTTTAACAGTATTCCAGTTAAGCGTGTCAGCTGAATGTGGGAGGAAAGCCTGAAGTGATGCAGGTCTCGGACGTTTACCACTTCAGTGAAACCCACAAGCACGGGGCCACCCGTGCCCCTAGTCACCCTCAACATTCATATCAATAAGCATATTCTAACACATAAATCTTTACATTTTCAATATGTACACGTCGCCATAAATATATAATGATATACAGTCTTCAACTATGTAGAGCAAATTAATAAGGGTTCTAAAGAACATATTTCCTGATGATTTGCACACTTGAGAAACAGAAAACATCTATCCCATGTACATCAGGAAACGATCATCATAATCATTAGCACATGTACTTAGATGTTCAGAAATAAGCTACACGCACTTGTTCTCTGAAGCACAAATAGATCAACATTACCACTTTTTCTGTACTATTTGCCAAGATAAACAGGATTCTGAAGAAATGTCAAAAATGATTTTTCATTAAAACGAAGAATAGTTGAACCAAAGGGCTGATATAGTTGGAGGGAAAAAAAAGGAATATATACTACCCGGTATTTAAAGAAATCAAACAACACTTGACTCTTTCATATTACTATAGTTAATCTGCCAGAATCTGTTTTCTTTAACTTCTTTTGAGTAGTATATTTGGGGATTGTTTTGAGTGTTCAGAACCTGTATTGGAAGTGTGCGTACTGCCTGAATGACACTAGTGAACTATGCTCCATGTAACCAGACCCTGTACAAGTACCTACAACAAGCCATCAGGAAATCATTATCCCCAAGTGAAACAATTAAGCGCAACTAAACTTTGAAGTAATCAAAATGTTGAGATATAGTTACAAAGGTATTTTGAGAGCATTGCACAATGTACATATGATATCCATCAAATATAATCATGTTGATCCTCATAATCCACATGCTAAGAGTCCTGAAGAGCCACACCTCCTGTAGGGGATTGTCTCAAAGTTCAAATTATCATTTTGAGCAAAACTAATTTAGAATGAAATTAATAACAAAAATTGCTATCATTATATAACCAAAAACATTGCTTTGTTCCATGAAGTCTACTTTTAATATGATTCATGATCATAACATGAATGATGTTAATTATGACTAGCAAAAAACATATGAAAGATTTTTGAACCAGTCCCTTCATATTTGGTGCATTGAAACCTGTTTAGATATTTCAAACAAACTGTGAGATATTTCTGCACTTACTTCCTTTAACTTTATGGCAGGAAATCATTTCCTGTTGCAGAGATTTACTGTTCCCTGTTGACTGATGGAAATTCCCACATAAGGAAACTAATTACATAAAATGAAAAATACATTTTACAAAAGGCCAGAAAATAAACACAATATCCACCAGCATATTTGTCTTGAAGCACTGATGATATACAAACTACTGTATGGGTGGATCAGTGGCTGGTTTTGAGTGGATGTGTTTTTTCATGTAGGGTGGGATTGGGGGGGGGGGGGGAGGAGGGTGCATGAGTAGGTATTAGGTGGGTGGTTTGGTTGGTTGGTTGGTTGGGTGCACAGTGAGGTGGTTGGATGTATGGTAGGTAGGTTGGTGGGAGGGTGGGTGGTTGAATTGGTGGGAGGTTATGTGGGTTTGGGGTTGTTATTTTTTTAAGAGGGATGGAAAGTGTTGGGTTTGACGCCTCTTTGCACACTTTTTAAAAGTTGACATTGACAAAACCTACCAGCACAGTCAGGATGGTGACCAAGGATTCAGTTTGTTAAAATCTGGAATTCAAACAGAAAATATCTGAATCCTGACAAAGAATTCAAATTAAAAAAATGACAGCCTGAACCTACCTCAAGGGGCACATGGATGTCAGGCCAGCGCAGTTCCGGAGATGGTGGGATGGGGTTGTTCCAGACCACTATCACCTTGTTGAGGAAAGGAAGACCCTTCAGTCTCTGCAGAGCCTTGATGAGGACTGCCTCCCTTTCGTATGTCAGCATCACAACTGGAGGAACATAATGTCAGATATATCTTAGAAGTGAGTGAGTGAGTGAGTTGAGTTTAACACCGCTTTTAACAATATTCTAGTTATATCACGGCGAGTCAGCTTAATGTGGGAGGAAACCCGAAGTGATGCAGGTCTCAGACGTTTACCACTTCGGTGAAACCCACGAGCATGGGTATGGTGCTGACAAACCTAGAAACATAATTGGGGCGAACCGGGATTCGAACCCACAATCATAGGTTTCTGGCTTGCCCAAGGGACACAACTCTGCACAGCGAATCATGGCGCCTTAGACGACTGGGCCACCTGTGCCCCCTATATCTTAGAAGAATATAACTAGAGCACAGACTGCAACCTGTGCAAGTTGGTTGGTTGGTTTGTTGTTTAACGCTGCACTCGGCAACATTCCAGCTATATGACGGCGGTCTGTAAATAATCGAGGATGGACCAGACAATCCAGTGATTAATATCATGAGCATCGATCCATGCAATTGGGATCGATGACATGCATCAACCAAGTCAGCGAGCCTGACCACCCGACAAGCATAGTCGCCTTTTACGGCAAGCATGGGTTGCTGAAGGCCTATTCTACCCCGGAATCTTCACGGGTCTCAACCTGTGCAAGGGTACCAGGGAAGTGAAATACTGGATTTATTCGAGTGAAAAACAATTTTCATGAGTGCCTTTTCTACGACAGACATGATCCACCATCTTGTCATCACAGAGTAGGCAGCAATAGAAACTGTTTTAGTCTACTAGTCCTTATAATGATAACAAATAGCCAAACCCTTAACAATGGCAAATTTTTACTAGTCCTTATGATACCTTTACTATTGGCAGTTTGGCAAGGACTATAGGACTAGTGCCAATTTCTAATGCTGGTAGGTCTCAGAGAATACCAGTATGATCATGACTGTACCTAACATTGCAGGGAACATAACTTGTATATTAAACGTGTTGATTAAACAGAGAAACCTACCATAACCCACTGTGGACTAAAGTTTTCCTAGACTGAATGTTTAGTCTTCTTATTTGTCCCTACTAAATACAAAGGTAAGTCTGTTTGAACATGTTGCATGTAATTCCAGCTGAGCTAAAGCAGATGCTAATCTGAGACATAGGTGATTGTCACGGGAAGGAGTTTTGCCACTTTACATGCAGAAGTATTCGAACCTGTTACCTGATCTTATCTTCAGAAATACACCAAACTTTGCAACCTGATGTCATAGAAAGACTGGAATGCACAGTCCCATACTGTTCTAAGTACCTAAAGTAACTTGTAAAGCATGAAAGAGCAAACATCATAGTGAACACTCATGCTTTAATATTTTCGAAAATGTGCTGCCTATTAGAGAAAAAAAACATTTGAAGTTTAGTTTAAGTCACCTTCTGATAGAATTACCTCATAGACGTCTTTAAAATTTGACTTGTCATAATTATTTAATGGATGTATTTATTTTCATGTTGATTTTCTGTAGCTGTGGTCGTAAATTACCCCAGCACTAGGTCTGAGTTCCACATGTACACAGAGCAAGCTGTTGAAAAACACAGCCCAGCTGGAGAACACAGCGATATGGCCATAAACCAGTTCCATATTGAGAAGTGCAAGGTATCTGGGGAATGAAAACAGGCCCTCGTCCGCGTGCTATGTACATAGTGTCAGATGGAGGCCGCCCCACCAGGGGGCGCACTCACAGGAATAACATCACAAAAAAGTTGTATTTATTCAAATATTTTTTCTTCATTTCTTCCTGATTGCACTTGATCAAATGGCAGTATGAGATTTAACTGTACAATTTCATGAGGTATTGCCTGAGGTTGTTTACAAGAAACCATGAACCAATATCAGGGTGAAGGAACAAAGGACCAGTGTACTGTTATGTATAAACAAACATATAGTCTATGAAATCTTTTATTACATAATAAATTTCCTCTAAAAAAAATGTGCTGACGCTGATGTAGAAAAGTAGAGGCTGGACTTGTTTTTTATTTTTAGACTTTAGGTTTCACATATCATTGTTGTCACAAATAACTAATTGTATAGTTTCGTTCATGTGAATAAACATATTGTATTGTATTGTATTGTATTGTATTGTATTGTATTGTATTGTATTGTATTGTATTGTATTGTATTGTATTGTATTGTATTGTATTGTATTGTATTGTATTTCCATCTTCAGCTGACATGGACACTTGATGGAAGCAGTCTTTACATTATACTGGTACTCCAGTGCACATCACAGAAAATGTCCCAACAAAATGGATCTTGTTTTGTAACACAACTGTCAGCTTGTCAGTAAGTTTGGTCAGCAGACATTCCAGAGGTCCTCACCCACTGCCGAGCTGGACACAAGGCAGTATCATATAACCAGAAACAAACAAATCTGGTGCCTCTGCCAGTATAAGAGGAACAAAGCTTGCATAAAAAAACATCTTGTATTGAATTCCCTGGTCAAACTTAACCTGTGGTCTAATGGATTGTGACAGGCACCTGCTGTAAACATGGTAAACAGGACAGAGCTATGTGGTGGAAGAGCTAAGGCTTATTAGATTACTTGATTTTCACATACTTTCTGAGACCTTCACATGTTCAGTGTAAACTGTCTGCATGCTGGTCAGATGTCCATTTCCACCAGCAAAAGTCTAGTAAAAACATATTTCTGACCAGCAAGGTCAGATAATAGCTAATTGTGATACAATAAAAAGAGGTTAATCTGACAATTACTTTGTGATGTTGAAATATCACCAGCATCAAAATAGAGTGATTGAATGTTAAAAATAAGTCAGCCACCAAGTATACTTTAGACCACACTTCAACAACATAAAGTATGACACCTAAAGCATATTGTAATAATGGTAAAGACAGTGTCGTAACACAGTGTTCTGGGAACCTTGATCATGTTGACCCCATTGTAATAGCTGCATCATCTACAGATGCCATCAATCAGCAGTTGTTTACATTCTCCATTCATGACAGGGACCCCTGACTTCCATCCCTGATATTCATCACTGAGGAGGAGGAGCGTCCTGCTGCTGCAGCACCATCAGCAGTCTCAGTGTGTAGTCAATGGTTTGGAATAATGGAAGTCCTAAAACTCCTTCTTCAGACAAAAAAACAGATGCCAACAACTCCAAACATTTGTTCGTGGATAAATCCTGCCACCAATCTCATAAACCTTACCAGAAATGTTACAAATTTTACCACACACTGTCACAATGACATTGTTTAACCTGCTGCCACAAAATACCATGCTAGGCCAAATAAAATATATTCTTGTTTCTCATGACTATTTCAAAATAGACCAAGTAGGGAAAGATGATATTACCGCTGTACTTTTATTATTTCTGAAGGCTACAAATCTATAAAATGAATCTGCTTCGTCTTATGTGTTGTACAGCTCAAAGTATGAAGAGTAGGGCGAGGCCATAGTGAGTGAGTGAGGTTTTACACCGCTTTTAGCAATATACCAGCAATATCACGGCGGGGGACACCAGAAATGGGCTTCACACATTGTACCCATGTCGGGAATCGAATCCGGGCCTTCGGCGTGATAAGCGAACGCTTTAACCACTAGGCTACCCAACCGCCCCTGAGGCCATAGTAACCACAGCTAGAGCCCTCTGTGAATATAATACACTGTGAATGGCATGACGTGTGCACAAACTTAATTTGGACTGAAGAAAAGTTTGGATTTTTAGAGTGTTAAAAAATAAATATATTAGAGGCAGGCAGCTCATGTGGAATAATAGAAAACAATCAGCAACATTTTATTTATTTATTTTTTATTTTTCACAAATGCCTATTTTTTGCCTTACCAATGTAAAAAGGAAGTTCTGACATCTAACACCTCATAAATTATTCTACATCACCCTAAATGCCTGCAAATGATAATTTTGCTAAAGAATAAATCTACCATATCCTACAGAAAATGTCAGTCTATCAAATGGCAGGAAAACAATGCCAGTGGAGGACATCCAAGCCATGTAACATTTAAGCTGACACCCTTCATGAAGGAGGTGACCTGCCATTGTCAGCCTCTGAGCCAATTAGTTTGTGTAGTAATGCTGACCTTCCTCCTGGAACCTGTCATATGAACCCTTGCAAACAATTTGGGGGTCAACAATAATCATTTTGACCTCAAAACTATTTGATATCCTGTAACAGATGTGTCTCATAAGTATTTTTTCTGTGTGTTTCGCTACACTGACATGTCTTTTCTAAACTACACCACAATAATGAACAGTTTTCAAAAGTAAACAGACAATTCTAAGGTTCTGGTCATAGCTGTTGCATCAAAACTAATTTAGGGAGTCATGAGATTCAAGCACTACAAGAACACTCTTCAAGTTCAAGCACTACAGGAGCACACCTTAAGCAAAACGGGAGCACATCATAAGCACAACATGGGGCATATCTTGAGGAGCCCAGGAGCGCACTTAAAGCACTACTGGAGCACACATCAAGCAGTAAAGGAGCACACCTCAAGCACAAGAGCACACCTCAAACACAACAGGAGCACACCCCAAGCACTACTCGGAGCACAACTCAAGCACAACAGGAGCACACCCCAAGCACTACAGGAGCACACCTCAAGCACAAGAGCACACCTCAAACACAACAGGAGCACACCCCAAGCACTACTCGGAGCACAACTCAAGCACAACAGGAGCACACCTTAAGCACAACAGGAGCACACTTCAAGCACAACAGGAACACATCCCAAGCACTACAGGAGCACACCTCAAGCATAACAGGAGCACACTTCAAGCACAACAGGGGCACATCCCAAGCACTACAGGAGCACACCTCAAGCACAACAGGAGCACACCTTAAGCACAACAGGAGCACACCTCGAGGAACCCTGAAGTACACTTCAAGCACTACAGGAACACACATCATTGACCCCAGGAGCACACAAGATACACTACAGGAGCATACCCTAAGCACAACAGGAGCACACCTCAAGGACCCCAGGACCCCCTAACTTCTAACACTGATGATAATGTTTTTAACAAAGCATGAATGTCAAAGGGTCCTTGCCATAATCCTAATTTAGAAATAAAACATTCATTGTATCCCTAGGATAAAATACTGCTGGAGAAAACCTCAAAGACCCCAGGAACCCCCTTGAGTTTGTAATGAAACTCATTTCAAGCCTAATGTGTCCTGCTAGTAATAACTGAAATAAATCTACTGGAGGCCCAGGCAATGGTTTGTACAAACTGATAAGTTTCCTTCTCTATCATCATACATATCTCAATAAACACATTCCCCAACCTCTCCTTCATCAAATATCATGTAAACCAATCAAGAGGTATTCCCTATTGCCAATAGTCTTATCTACAAACCCTACCCACAACCTAAGTTATCTCATCCAAATCTCAGAAGCAGAACACTGTTGCATATTACATACATTCTTTCTGCTGATACCACCAGGTCTGTCTGGCTTATCTTCCACTGTACATAACATTTAACCATTACAAGCCAACCCGGAGAAGGAGAAGTGTAACACTCGCCCCCAACTCCTAGAATGAGAATTATATTACACTCGCCAAGCCAAGCCAAGACACGCCCCTATCAGTGATGCAGGGACCATGTGCTGATGACAGTTGACAAGGTCCAAACAGCTGGTGGAACGACAAATTCCCTGCACCCTTCTTCATTTCAAATCTTTTAGAAAAGAAATTCATTTATTTTCATAAGGCTTACAGTAAACAGAAAAATGAAAAGCTCTCTAAAATCATGCCTTCCTGAGTCATATGTTTGCCTCTCGCAAGACTGCCCTTTTTAGACTTGAAACTACATTGAACGACGATTTGGGGGATTTTATGTTAACAATTGAATGGATGTCCTCAATGTGATCATCCTGTTGTTTCTGTTGGTTCATAGGCACCATATAAATGTTCTATTTTTGTACCAGGTCCCGAGTGGGAATTTTTGTACAGTAAAAATTCTTGATTCTATAGATCCCATCAGATGAACATAATAGCAAATCATGGATATCCAGTAGGGCTGGGATGGGTAACTCCGGGTTTCCGGGTCGGGTGGGTACTGAGTAGGACCCGGGTACCCACAGGACTACCCGGACCCGTCGTTAGTCATGTGATATATTGTTTAATGACAAAAATTATCTAGAACTCTATGGTTACACAGGGGGCACGGGTGGCCCAGTCGTCTAAGGCGCCACGATTCGCTGTGCAGAGTTGCGTCCCTCGGGCACGCCAGAAACCTATGATTGTGGGTTCGAATCCCGGTTCGCCCCGATTATGTTTGTCAGCACCATACCCGTGCTCATGTGTTTCACCGAAGTGGTAAACCTCTGAGACCTGCATCACTTCGGGCTTTCTCCCACATTAAGCTGACACGCCGTGATATAACTGGAATAGTGTTAAAAGCGGCGTTAAACACAACTCACTCACTCACTCACTATGGTTACACTACAAGTCACTAATGTGTGTGCATTCCTTCTGATTTTTCATATGGTTGAATAAAGATATAACTTAATTCAACTTCAGTGTATGAATGACCAAATTGTTTAATATTGCCAGGGCTATGCTAAAAATATTCATTTTGAGACATCTCCTTAGACCTATAGTGGGTACCCGGGTAGGGCCGGGTAATAGGGCATTGGGTACCCAGGTAGTAAATTTGGACTCATCCCAGCCCTAATAGTAATATCCAGTTAGATGTTTAAAAGCATGGCTGCTGAGGAAGCCATATTGAAAAGTCTACTGTTAGGGCATGATGCAAACATGACCATCACAAACCAGCCCTGCTGCCTTAACTTTGCGGTAGAAACTAACATTTTTAGCCCACTAATCCTTATTATGGTAACATATAGCAAAAGCCTTATAAATGGCAACTTTCTACTAATCCTTATACCCTAACTATTGGGCAGTTTGGCAAGGACTACAGGACTAGTGCCAATTTCTAACGCTGATCTCACGGGGTGTAACTTTTGGGATGATACCAGTATCCATACGTCTTAACTTCTACAAGCATCATTACGTTTACATGCTGGTAACTCACATGACTGGTGATATGTGATTGATTGAGTGAGTGTTGCTTGGAAGAGTAGTTAGAGTTACATACATTTGTATTATGTCATGTCGTTCAGTCACTGCGAGTTGAGTGAGTGTGAATTTGGTTTTAACTTGGTTTTCAATAGTATGTCAGTAACATGACAGTCTTCCTCAATTATCCAGCAAATTATGTCTATGTTAATATGATAAATACCCTGAAACCGTTTACTACCATAGCTTGTTCCAACTCAGCTAAAAATAGCAGTGCAATCAAATTGCACTGTCCTTTCCTGATTGAAACAAGAAGTGATCGCACCAGTACTCAACTCGCCAAGTTGTGGTGAGTTGTCTCAAATACACTCTGGTTAAAACCATACCCACAGATGTAATGCTAACAGCTAAAAGATCATTATCGGGATGAATCTGAGCTTGAAACCTATGATAAGCAGCAACTAACAGCAGAGAAACACAACAATGAATAGCAAGCTGTGCTGTCTTAGACCACTGAGCTGGGGACCACTCCAACCTGGGGATGCTTTTCCATCCTCTCTACCACAAGAAGTTTTAGATCATTTCACTTTCAAGGACATTACTGATTGTCATCCAAAATGTCGGGAAGATTTTGGTAACACTTAGTAATGATACAGGGGAATGTCTCCAGCAAAATCATTGCAAAATTACCCTCACAACAATTCAAGTCAAGTTGTAAATAGTGAAATTAAATCATATTTAGTTGGTTTATAGGACAAGGATGAGAGAACATTCTAACCCAGTATCCAGACAGTTTTTACATTTAGTACTTCAAAACTATTATCATAGGGTGAATAGGTCTTCCGCAACCTACACTTGCCGTAAAAGGCATCTATGCTTGTCATAAGAGGCGACTAAAGGGATAGGGTGGTCAGGCTCACTGACTTGGTTGATACATGTCTTCGTATCCCAATTGTGTGGATCGATGTTCATGATATCAATCACTGGACTATCTGGTCCAGACTGGATTATTTACAGACCACCGTCACATAGCTGGAATATTGCTGAGTGCGGCATTAAACAACAAACAGACAAACAAACAAAAAACATAATCAAAGGGCTTCACACACAATGAATCAAAACCAAGGACGTTTGAACCACTAGGCTACCTCTCACCCCTGATATGTTGTTGAACAAAAGCATGTGGTGATTGACCTAACTGCCACCTGACCAAGACATAGTCTAGACAGAGTACCGCAGCCATCTATCAGTGTGAGGAGAAGGTCTCTGTGTGTGGCACATAGTTAGTTCTGGGGAATTAACCAATGACAGTGAGAGCAGTGATAAGTATCACTCCCCAAGGAGTTCGTCTGCAAGACTCACCATGAGTGCCTGCATCCAACATATCTACACCAGCCAGTCCACAGAAGGTTCACCTGCATGTCATCACCATCACCTAAAGGCTGTATGTTATCTCTATTTTATCAATTAACCAGGCACAAGTTATTTCTGGTCGTAAACATTACATGTGCAAATATACAAGATAACACCATTTGATACAGCTGGATTTGAAGTTGTCCAAACGCATTCCACTCTGCTGCAGGGGGCCTGTTTTGAGGTTCCCCATGAAAGTCCCATTGTTTCACCTGCGACCCAATTGTGTTTATCACAGCTGGAACCAGCCACCAAGAAATACATATTTAGCATTCAGGTCAAATCAGATTTTTCTGCTTATTATCGTTACTGAGGCTACCTTGACCATGTTGACATACATCAAGAAACATACATCAGTCTTAATAAATAATTGGCATTAGAGATTGTTAAAAATATAAATTATAGTAAAAAAACTACCTACCAACCCATACCTGTTTGGTCTATGTTACAACAAAACATTCTTTTTCTTGGCCTAAGCTCCAGCATTCCATATCACTTATTGTACACAAGAATACTGGTTAATGCTAATGGTTCTGACTGGATGTTTTTCACAATTAGTGAGAGAGACTATCTTATTGCTGCTTTACCAATTTTCAAGCAATATCATGGCAGGAACATCAGGTATGGGTTTTCCATACTTTACCCATGTACGGATATAAACCCATGTCATTAGCGAGACAGGTGAACACTCTGTAGCCTGAAGGTATTCACATGGGATTTTTGTCTCAAATCATTGTAGATGAGAAATGGGGTTTAACGTCATGTCCAAGATTATTCCACTTATGCATGCATGCACGTGTATGTGTGTGTACTAGTCCAGACTAATGCTCATTTTCTAGTGCTATCCCAACATGAATTACCCAAATTAGACACAGTACACTGACTCTGAGATGACCAGTCCTTGTTTTACTCCCTTAATGCAGAGCGCCAGTCTGGGTAACAACAAGCATCATTTTTTATGTCTTTTTGTATGACACGGATGGGGATCAAACCTTGGACATTCCGCTCTGGGCAGGCCACGGAGACGGTCTCAAATCATTGTAGATGTGAACTACATCATGTGCATGGATAGGAGATTGTTATGTTATGTTATCGAGGGAGGTTAATAAACATGATGAAGTTGTCCACATCAGCATAAAATATGATTCAGGGTTTGTCAGGTAACAACGGTAGTTAAAATGAGACGTCTCAACAAGTATTTTCAACATCGATCTGACAAAAAAGTACATGGTTTGAATATCAAGAATAAAGATACTTTTATTGGAACACTTAACACCAGTCTTCAATTTGCAATCAATTTTACATCCTCAAACAGGATATTTAATATTATACATCTCTGCTAAATTTTATAGTAAGAGTTGGACCCAGTGCTGCACACCTTTTCAATACTTTTAAATTAACTCGGCATCCAAAGGGTTAAATCTCTTGCATGTCCTGCTGAAAACAGGATTTGTCCTGATGCCTCTTGCCACACTCTGAATGTACTGTACACTCTAAGGCAACTTACTAGTGAACTGTTCCCGCTGGATATTTCCACCCAGGGCTCCGCTGAACTCCTTCCCAGATCCACCTGCTCCCTTCCCGATTGACCGGAACCCATAGCCAGAACCTGGGGAGAAGAACATGATATTATCATCAAGGACAAATATTAAATAATCTTTTTCTTTTATGTTTCACTGTACTGTTCGGAAATATTTTTTTAATGTGTACTGTTGGTCAATGATATTTCTAACTACTAACTCCTGACATAGAGATTGTGCCAGAATATCAACAATTTCTTATGCAAATAGGATCATGACTGTCTAGTTTTAGTGGAATATAACTGATGATACAATTAAATCCATGTGACAACTACCAAATAACGTGCCATGACAACTCTGAATTTTTTTAGATGTTGACACTAGCACACACAGGAAAGAAGTGAGGTTTTCCCACCTCACTCATGTGCATGAGGTATGGGTGCTACTTGCACAACTTACTACAGACAGTAGCTGGAAGAGAACTTCTGTTAAAAGTCAGAAGATTTTTATAGTCTGATGACAGCCAAACAGGTTTTGCATTCATAAGAATTAACCCAATAAAACACATGACATATCTAACAGTACATATGTAAGGGACTGACACAGAAGCAATGAGTTCTGCCAGTACACACAGACTTCCATCTTGCCAATACATCTAAAAGTGTATGTTATGTATACAGGCCATTATTAATTTAATAATTACACTTTTATCCCACCATGCTCTCTACCAAATGCCTGCATCACATCATTTTATTGTCCAAAAGTACCTACAGATTGAGAAACTTGCTTCAAATTTGGTGCCGTTAAGTCTGGGTGAGCTAGCTCTTCATTGAAAACACATCATGTTTATCTCGTGTCTCACCACGCTCGCATTTTTTAAAACATTTTGATGAAATTGCCTATCTGGTCCTATCTAGTCCTATCATCAGTCCTATCATCCAGTATGTTTATCTCCTAAAAACACAAAATGCCTCCCTTCTCACCATGCTTACATTTAAAAAAAAACAAACTCTAATACCGTAATTTGTTTCTTGTTATCTAACCTTTCATTAAATTACCCTGTTGGTTTACTTATGTGTAGGTACATATCCATTTAACTTACACATATATTGCATCCTTCGGATATATCAAGGTTTATTTGTGTTTGTGTATATATCATGAATATTGTCCTGCACACTCCTCTGTGTGTGTGTGTTTGTTTGCGTGTGTGTGTGCGTGTGCATATATCTTGTTATGGTACCAATATATCTACATGTATACAAATACCCTGTCATCGTACCGATGTATCTACATGTATATATATATCCTGTCATCATATCGATATATATCAACATGTATACACACATCCTGTCATCATACTGATAAATCAACATGTATACATATTATATCCTGTCATCGTACCGATATATCATTTTACTGATATATCAACATGTATACACATATATCCTGTCATTGTACAGACATATCTATAAGTACACTCTCATCCTGATCATACTGAAGCAAAGCAAGACATACACGATACAAGCACCTGTTGAGGCAGAACACAGCCCCTGGAGACAGACAGTGAACAAGTCTGAAGGGAAGACCAGGCACTAGTCACATACAGAGATTCTGGAGGTAATAAAGTTAGTGTGAAGGTGTCGACATCTTGATTGCATTATCAGGGCTCAGGGCTCATAATCTTCCACTCAGGTGAAAGTCAGTTACACACACTGACAGGAAACACCAAATATCCATCTCAGTCGTGCAAGCAGTTATACAAGGATATTCATCTGAATGTAATAGCTTCTGGTTATTCCAGATTATTCTCAGCAGGCAAATCAAATTATTGATATTACAGCAGGGCAAGTGCAACTAATCAGGTTAACTGTGATTGAGAGAGAGCAAATTTGATCTAAATACTGCCTTGAATAATATTTCTGTTGTGCAACTGCATGTCTGCTTCACTCGCTAAATGTCACAGGAGTGAGTTTGTTTTTTAACGCCTTATTCAACAATATTCCAGCTACATAACAGCAGTTTGAAAATAACTGAATCTGCACCAGACAATCTATCGAGTGACATCATGAGCATCGATCCACGCAATTAGGATATGATTTGTAATCAACCAAGTCACAGAGCCTGACCACCTGATCCATTTGGTTGCCTCTTACAAAAAGCTCAGGTTGCTGGAGTCTTATATTCCTACCCGGAATCCCCCTCTCCCAAGTGCCCCCTCTGAAGCTTGGTGTTCCCTGTGGGAATGTATTCCTATGGTGCCATGGATGAGCGAGCAAGAACAGTTGAACAGTATTTCACAGCATGTCAAAATAAATGTTGGAGTGCGGTAGATGTCAGATTTATCTACACCTGCACAGAGGAGGATGCTCCCAAATTGTAATTACAAATTTCCCATTTCATGTTCATATAGTCATAAACTGAGGTTTGTGTGAAACCCATGACCACTGGTATTACCAGGTAATGGAATGGAAAGATCAAGGCAGTACTTGACACTGACCAAAATTTGTCAGTGGTCCAAAGGACCAACTCCAAAAATATATTTTCTGGTCCTGTTGGATCTCTACTAGGCACAATGGTGCTTAGGGTTTAGACATTATCTTATATATTGCTGAATTCAAAAGTTGTACAAACTTAAAATAACTTTGTTCATCCCCACCCAAAAAAAATTATTTCATTTTACTGGTCCTTAAGAAAATATACTACACTAGGACCAGTGTTAGTGTCAAGCACTGCAAGGAAGTCATGGTCAGCTATCCTGGCTAGCTGATGATTCGATGCCTTAACCAGAGTCTGGCCCAGTCTGCAGAGGTATGACATATGTCAGATGTGAAGCATTAGACACAAACATTTGCATCATACATCATGAACGGGAATATCAACATGAACAGTTGTAAAGTTGAAGCTGTATCATTGTATGGTATTGTGTGAAATTTGCAGGCTGAACATACGTATGCGCTGTTCCTTCCATGAATTATGCTAAATCCATGAATATTGCATCAAGGAGAAATATGAAATATGACATACTCCTGTCACATCTGGTAAGTGAATGAAACATTTCCTCATTTTGTATAATCTGTTATACACGTTGCATGCAATACATGAGTGAGTATGGTTTTACGCCTTTTTTAGCAATATTCCAGCAATATAACATCGGGGGACACCAGAAATGGGCTTCACACATTGTACCCACATCGGTAATCGAACCCGGGTCTTCAGCATGACGAGCAAATGCTTAAAACACTTGGCTACCCGACCGCCCCTGCAGTACATGAGGACTAGTAGATTTAAGTATTGGGGATTCAATCAGTAATTTGAAATGTGTTATAAAAGGGTTGTGTTACAGAGAAAATAAAATCCTACAAAACGTGCGAAATGCATTCTTTCTCAGTATCCATGTTCATAATAATAAAAAAGAGGTGTAGACCTTCACAAGACATGGAACACAATTTAATTGTACACATTCAACAACACAAACACATATCTGCTTTAAAACTTGGAAAATTAATAAATCATAGATTATACATCAATTTCTTGTTGGAAATTTAATCCAAATAATAACTGAAGAAACACGGATAAAGGAATAACACTAGAAGATGCTAACTTTCAATCATAGAAAAAGGTTCAATAATCACAAACAACTAAGGCCGCCAACTTTCCAAAATATTCAACACCTGTTGTTGACAATTATTATGTAACTAGATGTGCAGCTGCTGTAACCAATAAGTTCTGGTCTTCATGTCATATGCTTTTCATGTAACATGTTACTTGTGATAAATTTCTACAGGAGGTGAAAAATATTTATAAGTTCGGACTGAGCATGCCTCATATTATCTTGATAATCTTAAAGTCAGTATAGTGAAGAAATGAGACCAACCAGTCATTAGACTACAAAATATCAAGTCAGAGCTGTTTTTGCACATGTCAGCGACTTTTATGATGACCCGATGACACATATTTTAACCCCTGGCCAAAAAAAAATAGGTGCTAAAAAAATCTTTAATGTACCTCAAAACCCGATGTCCATGTTGTTAACAGATTTTTTCAATTACTGCTTCAGAATAGGTTACTCTGTTTTGCTTGAAGTTGCTACTTCAAGCTTCATTAAAACAGGAAACCCAGTAACAGCTTTTAACCAGGATGAGGTTGTGGGAGAGAGAGAGGTCCTGGATCCTGACTAAAACCTTCTACTATGACCTAACAGTGATCTGCACTGATGCTACATGAAGAGTCAAGTCATGTCGCTGTAGAGAGAACCCAGATCCTAGCTAAATGTTTCCACTATGACCTGACAATGATCTGCACTGATGCTACATGAAGAGTCAAGTCATGTCGCTGTAGAGAGAACCCAGATCCTAGCTAAATGTTTCCACTATGACCTGACAGTGATCTGCACCGATGTCACAATAAACAAGTTAAAAACATGAGCTGTTTATGATAACATGCACCCACATCAGGGATTCTTAAATTACAATCATCCTTCATGATATTTATTTGTTCTCAAAACACAAGTCTTTCCTCATGATAATTTCACAAACCAAATCTGCTTCTCTAAATGTCAACATATGACTTGTAAAAAAAACATGCTAAACTTCATGATGCTCCAGATTAAACAAAGGCTTATATTACAAAAAAGAAATTCAAATACCCAGATCCAACAAATTTGAGAAATGCCAATAGATCTGTGATTCATTTTATTTTCTCTGACATTAAACTACCATTGTATCGTAAAATGTTCCTGAATAATTTCTCTGGCTACTCTGAAGAGCAAATGCCAATAGATCTGTGATTCATTTCATTTTCTCTGACATCAAACTGCCATGGTATCGTAAAATATTCCTGAATAATTTCACTGGCAACTCTGACTAGCCAATGCCAATAAGTCGCCCCACTCCATTGCAAATATTCCCATCAGCCAAAGAACATTTACCTGTTTCTTGTAACCATGCAAAGACATCAAAACTGCCATGGTATCGTAAAACAGTCCTGAATAATTTCACTGGCAACTCTGACTAGCCAATGCTAAACTTCACGATACTCAAGATTAAACAAAGGCTTATATTAGAAAAAATAAATTCAAATACGAAAAACCAAGATCCAACAAATTTGAGAAATGCCAAATAAATCAATGTAACATTTTATTCTCTCATCAAACTGCCACGGCATAGTAAAACATTCCTGAATAATTTCTCTACTCTGAAGAGAAGATGCCAATAGATCTGTGATTCATTTTATTTTCTCTGACATCTAACTACCACGGTATCGTAAAACATTCCTGAATAATTTCACTGGCAACTCTGACTAGCCAATGCCAATGAGTCGCCCCACTCCGTTGCAAATATTCCCATCAGCCAAAGAACATTTACCTGTTTCTTGTAACCATGCATTAAATTACAGTCAGAGTGTAGCAGTATCTATTATCGATGGCAATCATCCAAGACCCAACATCAGCTGGGATCCATCTACAGGCTGAGAGGAAATGACTTTCATCCCTACTTAAAATGTCTTTACTGAGACTATGTATTTCAAAGTGAGTTCATCGAATCTGCTTAGATAGCAGGGGGCTTCCACAAAGAATTATACCATTGAATGACTTTTCATGTGATGTTTTAATACTACAACATAAACACCTTCTTTACAAACATTGGTAAAGATTGCGTAATGACCAATAGTTAGCCAATATTGTCCTACTTACATCTGTAGCTTGTATACATTTTGATCTATTATAAATACAGTTTAGGGATTCAGTTAGTTTGTTCATTTAGCATTCTGAACTAATAAAATTAGGAGATAAACATACTGTGTTTTCCGAGTAGAGATTACCTGTAGATTTAACTATGCTTAATCAAATTTGGAACTGAATGTGCAGGTTGACATTTCAAATGTCAGATTTATCGGGATTAAATCTACAGGTAACCTAGCTCTACACTGAAAACACAGAATGTATATCTTCATTCTGCTATCACAAAATTGAACATGAACTCTTTGGTGTAAGATTTGATACTGAATGACACTGCATGGGTTGAGTCCAATGTTTTCAGTGTGATGTCTGAGTAACTAATGGAAACATTGATAATCATGATAATAGCCATTAAACAAAGTTTGGTACTGTATATGGTGATGTTGCCATCAAAACGGTTGTTTCCATCAGAGGTGGTTATTGTGATTGATACCTTTAATTGACCAATCAGAATGGAGTTATTTCCTAACACATGGCAAAATTATAAACATGATAAATACACACTGAAAAATGAAATATTTCCTATTTCCAATATATTTGTGGCGTTGTTAGTCTAGCACAGTTAGTAAGGGCGTAACAATGGATCAAACAACCACTGCTTTTTGCAACTGTCAATGGCACAATGGCTATACCTCTAAGTTAAAATAGGAATAGTTGCCAGACTTTCAATTGTTTCAATACCAGCAGATGCTTTTAAAAGAAAACTAGAGTAATAATTAACACCACTGGAAAGAACTTGACCATCTGTAATATTTGAGACTTCAGCCTCTCCAATCTGAACTGCTTCCCTTAACATCTAACTTCCCCAGCAAACTACCGATCCTAGGAAACACTGGATGTGTCAGATCAACATGTGACAAAAGCCCAGGAACTCTAGAAGATGGGAAGGTATGACCATACAACTGCACTTCTATTGCAATAATGGCACAACCTTTACAATACCATTTCATCAGTGTCTTACACTATTGCACTATAGTAACCCTTAGTAAGTTGTCTTTATTGCTAGTGGCAAGTATTGCTAAATTGTACATCGTGAAGAATCATAACAGGTTGTTTGTTTGTTTGTTGTTTAACCTGTTAACGCCACACTCAGCAATATTCGAGCTATATGACGGCGGTCTGTAAATAATCGAGTCTGGACCAGACAATCCAGTCATGAGCATCTACCCACGCAATTGGGAAACGATGACATGCATCAACCAAATCAGCGGGCCTGACCACCTGATCCCGATAGTCGTTTCTTACGACAAGCATAGTCACCTTTTACGGCAAGTATGGATAGCAAGGCCTATTCTACCCCGGATCTTCACCATGGCTATAGTAAAAGCAGGTTTTCACTCACCTAGATATTTGGCCTCTGATGGCAGCACAGTGTCAAAGGGCTGATATGGGTACAGATGGAATGGATCCCCGGGCTTGTTGAAGATGTTATAGTTGATAAACTGAGTGTAGTTTCTGTAGAACTTCTCGGAAGGGAACCTGGCTTCAGTTGGACCAAGCACTTCATCAGTCTCTGGCTCCATCTCCGGTCCATTGAACTTCAGGGGAATGAAAGAAGCATTAAACACACTTGGAGTTGGCTCTTCTTTTACTGGTTTTGCCGGAATCTGAAGCCTTGTTCTGAAAACAGCTAGCGTTGTGTCAAGGATCCGATTTGAGTTACTCATATATGTTTCCCACAGGAACCTCCCATGTTGTCTCATCTGTGAGATGTCACTATCAGTAAAGGTTCTCAGAAAGAAATGAATCTCAGTCACCCTGGACACTGGCAGAAATATTGCAGCAAGTCTCCAGTCAAGGATCTCACTAAATGGAAGCTGCACATGATCGCCAAGTATGATAGGAATGGCACCATATTTTAATGATTCGTACAAACGAATCTGAAACACAGTTGTTGAAAGCATTGTGAAGTTTGTAGGTGGCAACACCAGGGAGAATGTTGACTGAGAGAGTACTTTGGTTCTTTGCTCACTGTTCCCACAAAGACCCCACTCAGCATAGCTACCCTGAGGTCGAGGTCCATCACATGAAAACTGCAGGAACAGCGTGTCAGGGATCTGATTATGCATTTTCTTCAAGGCAGCAACAACTGATGCCTCAAGGGACACCAGCCTGGTTGCATCTGCTGCAGCTTTCAGAGTTCTGACCTGAAAGTTCCCATCTTCCTCTTCATCATCTTCTCCTTCTTCAGAGCGTTCTTCCTCCTGTCCTGCTCCCTGTGGCACTTCCTGTACTGACCGTGGCACTCGCTGCACATTACCTCCATTCTCATTCACTGTGTTCTGAATACTTTGTATGTTCTGCTCAATGTTCTGTGCAAGCTTACTGGAAATTGCCTCTCCCCAAAATGAAATGAGATACTTTCTTCTCACAGGTGACATTGAAGGCAAATCTTGCCATGTATCTCCTTCAGCGATGCCAAAGTTTGGAGGAACAAGTACATCAAAACCTGGTCTGAATAAACTGTTTACAAACACTGACTGCACCATCATAGCACGCCCAGTGTTGACATCTGTAAAGAACTCCTTGCTCGATGGGCTTCTGGCTAGATTAAGAATAATATGATTCCTACCATCACCATGCCAGTGTGGCAGGTCGTGAAGCTGTCTTTCAAAATGGGCTCGATCTACAAGTTGATCTTCTGCTATCTCTCCCACTAACACAACAAACAGACAAGCAGACATGGGATCTGTTGTCACATACACACTTTTTTGTAAACTACTTTTAAAAGAAGACTGAACAAAGTCTACAATTTTGTGGGATCCAAATAAACTGTCTTCAGGATTGTACACAAATACTGGAAATCCTGACACTAGTGAACACGGGGTGTAGTCAAAACATGAATGCATCCTGCAGGACTGGGGTGACATAGGCAATGGAATGTTCTCACTTGGGTCGGCCTCCATCAAGATCCTCTGTGGTGCCTTGATGTTGGGAATATACTGCATAATGGTCTCCTCCTTCTCCACACGTAGCTGGTCCAAGGCTATTTTCAGCTGACTCACCTCTTTGTTTATCGTCTCATATTGAGATTTTAGGGTGTCAATATGAGTTGTATACCCTGAAACTTCAGCTTGAAGTTTTTGTCTCTTGCTCTCTAAATCACGCAGTTCATTATTAACAGATGCTTTGATACGGCGCAGTTCTTCAATTTGATGTTTGAGCTCTGAGCTTTTGCTTAAATCAATATCACTGTCAGGGTAGTCCAGTTTAGTCCTTGACCGATGTATGGGGTGGTCAATGTCCCCAGCAATGTTGGAGAGATAGTAATGACCGACCAGCGGCACCGTTATAAACAGACATAAAAAAACCAAAATACACTTTGATGTGACCATGTGCCGTAAACACACACACACTCGACCACGCAGCCAAGTAGCACCTGAACGATCCGCTTTCATTTTGATTGAATGAAGAATGTCAAATCATAAATATATAAAGTACTATAAAACTGTTAAACATGGAATTAAAACTTTAGTAAATTTACCTAAAAGTAGGTTGTCTAAAATTATTTTTCAAAATAAAATCATTGTTCACATACTAAAGAGTAACTTTATGAGACTGTAATTATTTCACATGAGGCTCAGGCATCCTATGAAGTTACTCATCCATGAAACATCTAAAAACTACTCCAGCGGAAAATATGTGCAGGAAAAAACACTCCACTTGTCACAAACCCGCATACTGGAATACGACCTCTGATTTAAATAAATTTTTATATCCCTAGTTGCTGTATTGAAGAGGCTATCTAGGCATGTGTTCAAACAGCATTCAGCCAACGCTCACAGGTGGGAGAAACGCCATACTCTTCCAACTCCCACACTGTATCTCTGAAGCAGGTAATCAAGTCACCTGTTGCAGAACAACAAGCAGGTCTTCTCACCAACACAATAGCAGTAACAAATGTTATCCTGTGTGGCAGCCAACAACTGTCCGGTCATGCAGTCAATTGATGGGAAGCTTTCACTGTCACTCAATGGATGCAGCTGCAGCTGAATATCTCCCTACTCCTAGAGATTGTTGCAGCACTCAGTGAAGACTACAACACTGTGAGGAGCATGATAGCGACTACATCCAGCTGAGAGGCAGAGTGTATTATGTCTGTGTACACTGGATACTGGATGAGGCTGACATGCAGCCTGTATCAGCTTCCACTGCCTGGCTCTCTGTGTGATTCAATTACCCTGGTCGTTCACTAACTACATTCTTTCAAGCATTTCCCCACATTTCCACCATCCCAGGAAGCGATTATTATAAATCAGGTCACAATCCTTCCCTCAGCTTGCCCTGTTATGCAATTATATCCTCCCCCTCTAGCTGGCTGTTCCTTTATCCTCCTTGTACTTCAACTTCCATTTCTTTATTTGATTATTTAATCTTCAGGAATCGCTCTGTCAATATCCTTCATAACCAATAATGTAATCTCATCCTTGCAATATGCCTCTTATCAAAGAAATGTGATCACATATCAAACAAATGTCTTACACAATGTCAAGTTTTTCTCAATAATCAAATAAATAAAACCTTGCACTTCTAACAAAGAGCTGTTGTTTCAGATAAGTAAAATAAGACGCTTCATGAGTTCACAGTGAAATCCTTGTGTTTATAAGCTTCCTATATCCTTTGCATGTAGCATGAAATGTCTCCCCTTTCAGTTGACGGAGACTACAGAATTCGGGGAATGAGGTTATCCATCACAATTTCACATCTAGTCGTTCCTCACACAATTGCCGATTGTCAATCTGTGTCTCACACATGATAGATTAAATCCACATCCCTGACATCTACATCAAACATAGCAGCCCAAACCAAGGGTTCTTTCTATGTGGATCAGTTGAGAGTTGCAGGAAATCCAGCGGTGGGAAGCACACTTCCCCCTTGTCGTTACTTTCCCCCCTGGTTGCTAGGGAGGGGTAGCCTGGCTACTGATGGTGTCTTGTCAATCCATGAGGCAATCTGGAACAGAAACGGTTGTGTCAGAAAATAAACCTGCTGGTCGTGATTGACAGTCTGTGCAGTGGAACAGAAATATTGCTGATGGTGGCTCAACAGACAATCAGTGGACAGCTAGCTGGGAACATCAGTTAGTGTGGGTGTCTAATGGATAGGTTCAACATATATCATGATTACTCTGCTGCAGAGGGCAGAAGCTCAGGAATACTATGTCAAAACTGTCAATTGAAGAAAAACATCAAAGGTTTGTTTTTCTGATTTAACCAAAGAATGTTAATTTGAGAAAAACAAATTGAATTTCAATTATCAGCTCCAGGAATAGCGAAAAGACAGTCCCTCTTGTTATTTTTTAAAAATTTATCGCATGAAAGACCTTGAGAAGAATTTGTCAGACTTCATCTGCCTCTGACTGTGATCTTAGCATTAAGCTGTCATTGTGCAAAAAATATAAAATACTGAAAAATATGAGAGATATTGAAAACCCATGCTGTTATTATGGTTCAAACAAGAAACAAAACAGCTCAAAGGGCACACTATTGGCATCAACATCCACTCAATAGATATTTTTCAATTTATTACGAAAAGGGAGAATCAATACTGATGTGATAAGGCTTCATCAAGTATGCTTGACATTTACATTTACAGGCAATGCACAGTGACATCCACTTCCCCAAAACCTATCACCATATGAGCTGCTATGTGACAAACAGATTTTTTCCAGATGGAAAAGTAGTTGATTTAAGAGTTCCAAGGCTATAAATGGATAGATCTTGCATTGATACTTTCTGAACGAAAAATCTTTTTAATACAAATTGTATGACATCTTGAACAGATCTGACTGTTTTGCAAGTGCCTTTGACAACTTGGCTTTGATTCAAAGTACACCCCAGCCCCTCCCCTCCAAACCATCAACCCCCATGATAACCCTACCCCTGACACTGATGTGTTATTACTGAGACCATGTTGCTGAGCCCCCGAGCCACACAAAAACAGAACCTGCTGTAAAAGTGATCTACTCAAATGTTACTGCTCCATCTATACATAGCCTTGGTTTATAGATAGATCAAGCACAGCTGTGACACTTGTCCAAAGTTCCCACTCCTGTACTACAAACATTTTGGTTTATAGTCATATCAAGCCGGCTGTGACCAGCAGCTGGTGACTCCTTTAAGGTAGGGGTGTCACTACTCAATCGCTTTATCACATTACACCCAATGCAGGCTTTAGCTAATCATGTTTATAGTGATAGTAAGCCCAGTTGTGACACCTTTCTCATGTCTGCATTCACATAAATTATACAGCCAGGTTTGTAGTGAAGTCAATCATTGTAACACACAACAGTGTCCCCAGTATCCCACTAGTGCTGATCAATGCTCAAGATGTCAATCACTGGATTATCTGGTCAGAAAGCAGTCATATACATGATACAGCTGGAATGTTGCTGAGTGTGACATTAAACAGAAAACTAACTAACAAAAGTTACTAGTTTTTGTTTGTTTGTTGTTTAACAATAGTCAGCAATATTCCAGCTATTTGACGGCGGGCTGTAAATAATTGAGTCTGGACCAGTCAATCCAGTGATTGACATCATGAACATTGATCCACGTGTGACATCGAGCGCAACTTTAACACCTGTCCAGTGCCTCCTTTCGCATATTACTGACATATTGGCTTATAGCACTGGAAGTCATCACTTGTATTTACTTCCATTTGAGTGGACTAACATCTAGAAAAAACAGTTGTTAAATTATAGTCATAAAATACAATGAAAAGGAGCCGAGAGACTTTTGGTGTTATGAGCTTTGAGCATAGTTTGGGATATGGACTAGGGGCATCTTAAATATTATTGTTGTTGTTATTATTGTTGTTGCTGGAACACTGTTGTTTTGGTGAAACAGAACTGGAAGCTGTAAAATGATGCTTGTTCTGTACAGGTAGTGGTCCAGGGATAATTCTAGGGCTGGGACTTGTGCTTTTAGCCCTTAAATTTGAAAAAAGCCCACATTTTCAAATACAGTGGGGCATGTAAACATTTGGCTGAATGGCGTACAGTTGGAATATTTGAAATTTTGACATAAAGTGCCTATGTCAGGAAATTCCTAGAGTGAACCCTGGTGGTCCATGTCGGAACTTTAAGCCAATGATGTTTCTTAGCCTCTTGCAGCACAGGTAACACAAACCTGTTAATAACCAATCCCTCCAAACCCTACTTCTGTACATTCATTTAAAAAGCAGTTGCCAGACAATTTGTAGTTGCAGAGAATGTTTACCAGCATAAATGTATCACCACACTGCTTCCTGAGGCATCCAGCCAGTTAAGGGAGAGAAATGGAGGGACCTACCTACACAAACAGGCACCTCATTAAACAACAACCAAAGTTGTGAAAAGATAACACTTGACTAGGAGGTGCCCTCATCTCAGACTGCCTTCAGCTGGGTATTAATTACATTCACATCACTGCTGTTCTTTCATTGAAAAAATACCCAAGCCTACTGTATCAGCCTGATGTTGCAGGTCTTAAGAATATTCATGGCATACTATGTACATGTATATGACACAAGATCAGTACACTAGTCATTATTGTAAAACTTGCATGTTCTATGCATTTTCTAATGAAGGAATATAGTTTATAACAGCCCAGATCTGTTAGAGCGAGTGAGTGTGTTTTTTTAGCAATAGTCCAACACAGGTGGCAGAGCTGTTCGAAGAAGGGTAGCCATTTGATGTCCGAGTTGCATCCCTTAGCTGTGTTAGGATCTGAAGATCATGGGTTTGAATCCCAGATTAACCACCCCTAATTATGATCCTCTGTTACCCACAGCTTCCACCATAGTAAACGTCCACATCACCACGACATTAAGCTGCTCTCGAATGAGACACTTAGAAGTTGGACATATAACTGATCATGCTTTACGTAATGTCAAAAGAGTATCTATAGTTGTAATATAGAAGTTGATTGTGCTATCTTATGCTAAAGTAGTAACTGGAATACTGCTCAAGAGCAGTGCTTAACCCAACTCACTCATTGCTTAGAGCTTATTCCAGTGTTAGAGGGCTCATAGCTCATTGTACAACATAAATGTATCTGATATTTTAAGCATATGATCATCAGTGAGTGGTTGACATGTTACATGTTAGCAGTGTTCTGTCAAGAGACTGAAGACACGGGGACAGGGACCCCTTCAGTATAAATACATGGCATCATTTTCAAAACTTATGGGACCACACTCAGAGCATCTTCCCAAGCAAGAGCATCGACTAGCCTTTTTTATCAACTCATGTAATCAAGCTAGTTACTTAAAGTTGAGAACAGTAGCACAATATCCAGGCTTGAATCCCCACAGAGGTTCAATGTGTGGAGCCCATTCTTGATGTCATCTGCCATCTTATGGCTGGAATATTGATAAAAGGAGCACAACATTCACTCACACATTTATGGGGCCAAAAACGTCATAGTTCAAAGAAAGTTGAAACATCAAAAAGTACCCATGCTATGCAATCTAAACACAGGAATCAAAACTTGTGTGAATACATGTTGTCAATTAAAGCAAACCACTCCTCCGTGGTCGGCTCTAGCAAGCATTGGATATTTAGTAGAGTCTATAGACTAACGCTTAGTCTCTCAAAACATATAATTTTGATAGAAACAAGCAACTCCATTTAATTGAAAAGAAGCCCCGGTGAGATGGGAGTTTCAGAATCTGTGGAAAATCTTAACTTGCTCCATTTAGGGTAGACTAACATTTAGTCTCTGAAATCTTATATTACACAATATGCTTTTTGACTCTAAAAATAAAAAAAAAATTCCCTATGCTGATTTCACTGTGGAATAGAGCTACCTTGAGCTGGCTAGACTTGCTTTTGTATGCATTTCTAGATTATTATTTTTTCATAAAATAAATATATTCCACGGTCATGGTGCAGGACTACATTTAGGGCTATAGCATTAATGTCAGGGTTGTGGTGAAAATAATATGGATCAGGACTGTGAGACAGTCTATAGAGGTTATCACGCGAGTGTGTTTGGGGATGGTAAATATCCTGCATTAGGAATAAACATTGTATTTAGCGAGCCTTGGCGAGCTAAATACATAGTGTTTATTCCTAATACAGGATATTTACCATCCCCAAACACACAAGCGTGATAACCTCTTTATCATATAATGTCATTCTTTAATTCTGTGCTTCAAAATCGCTTTACCCTCACTCACAAACATTACCGAAACATTGCGAGTTTTCCTGGAATGCGCGCATTAATATTTATTACGTCACAGGGTAAGTGATGTGTCAGTCGGACAGTGACAGTAGCCAATATAGTTCCAACTGAAATATGTTTCTTATACAGTGGCCAAGCAACATATACGCAAAACAACAATTGTTTTTAATTGTCTTTCGCGGCAACCCATCGGTCTGTCCGCTAGAGTAACTGCCCTTTGTCAAAGGGAAACTACTCTAACCCTAGTCTATGAGACGTCACGGCCACGGTCAGATGTTGTTGACAGTCGGTCTGTCCTGTCATAACGATAAGAAGTGTTGTCAGATGTACACACAGCGACAAAACGAAACAAGGTAACAATTCAAACATATTTCCGCCAAATCCAACTATTTTAATTTGTGGAGGAGGTTTCAAGCCGCAGAGGTCTACAAGCACAGATATGGCTACTGATCCCGCTTGGCTAGGTCTCGTGCCCTCGCCAAATTGTTTCGAAATGTATATCTCCAAAGTTGCCAAAACGTATAAAACGCCTTAGCTACGTCACAGTTAGACACAGATTTTCAGTATATTAGTCTGTTCTTTTGATAATGATAGCAATTATCCCTGTAGTTTATCCAGATTCCCGATGGTTAATTCTGACTCGATCGCCGAATGACGAGTGCGACGCCGTGTTTGTTTATAAACAGTGAAAGAAGTCCCTACGTGACCTTTGATATTTGCATCTCTATCCGCATGTGACCCCAACGGATATCATTTTTATCCGTTGGCTTTATCCTGCCGAGAAAC